CGCGGCGCCCCGTCGGGCCCGCAGGACCTGACGGCGGGCGATGCCCGCCGGGACATGGGCAGATGCCGCCGGGCAGCGAAGGACGCAGCGGGCCACCTCAGTCTCTGCGCGGCGGCGGCTCGCATGCAGATGCAAGGAGGGCGGCTTTTCGCGATAGAAGTCCCTACTTCGGCAAAGTCCTGGAGTTGTGCATCAGTGGTGGGTCTGCGCGCAGCTACTGGCGCGCATCGCGTTTCTGTCAGTGCATGCCAGGTCAGCCTCAGGGACCCAGTGCCCCAGAAGCTGACGTCGAAGGAGCGGTTTTTTTTTCAGCCGTCTCGGGCATGGTCGCGCGGGCCCTGAAAGATCTCATATGTCTGGGCGACCGCGCGCACGAGTGGCGCTACGGCAGCTCGAGAAGTATCAAAAGAAGCATTGTCTGTCAGAGGTATCCAGGTGACATGTGCCGACGTCTTGCGTCGTCGATGGTTTGCCGGCCGGGGCTGGGCATCGCTGACTCTGGCGACGTCGGGCGACGCGGAGGTCATCGAGCGCCGCGAGCTCACCCTGCAGACGACGCCGAGGAGGCGCCGCGCGAGCCTCGGCCGCCCGAGCATCAAGGACCCGGCGCGGATCCTGAAGCGCGCAAGGGCGGGCGCGGCGCAGGCGATGGCGCGGGAGTTCTCGCGCTCCGCGCGCGCGGGTCGGCGGCCCCCAAGTCTGCGCGGCCTGCGAAGGCGCCGTCCAACGTTGCGCCATTGAGGCTCGCAAGCAGTGGTCGACGTCGCAGAGTTACCTGGCTGGGCAGCAGATGCGACGGCGAAGGTTTTCAGCGTCGTTTGTCCGAGCAGCGGCCTGCAGCAAGTGGCCCCCTTCTTTGCGGCCGAGGACGGCGAGGTGCTGAAAGGGGCTGTTCGAGTCCAAGTGGCAAGAGCCCTACAGCGCCCCGCAGCACCTCGCGCGCGACGCCGGCCGGGCAACCTTAGGCCAGGACATCCTAGGCACCTTCGAGAAGAGGGGCGCCGAAGCGACGGATGCCATAGGCGAGACACGCGAGCAGGTTGGCCACGTCGACCGTCAGGGGCCCGGTTCGAAGGTGTTCGCAACAACGCAATGGACAAGACGGCGCCGAGTTCAAAGGCGACTGGCTGTCGTAAGGGCGGGCCGTGGCCTTCACGAAGAATTTTCTGCCGCGCGTTCATGGGTTCTTGCCGCGCCAGATTGCGCCGGGCGGGGCCCCGGAGGCCGCTGCGCGCACTATGCAGGAGGAGCTGGGCATTGCGGCGAGATGCGCGGTGTTCGACGAATTTCCCATTCGCCGTCATGGAGAGGTGTAGGGGGTGTGCGCGGCTGGCCGTGATCGAGCACATGGGTAATCGGGCGGCCAGGTTGGCTCTGGGCAGTCGCCCCAGGGTGGCCCAGACGTTCCAGGCGGGAGACCGAGCGGCAGTGCGGCGATGCGGCTGGGGCATCGCGGATAAGAAGGCTTATGCGATATGGCGCGTGTCGACCGCGATCCTGGGACAGGTGAAGGGCAACAACTGGGTCGCGATGTTGGGTGGCCATCGCGGCGTCGCCTGAGCCACTGCGCCATGCCACCCAGGAGGAGAAGCTCGCTGCCTGGGTCGTCCAGCCAGAGCTGCGCGCCATGGCCAGGGAGTTCATGAACGGCCAGGGGACTCGACACCACGGCGGATTAGCGACCACCAGGGATGGCGGTCGGCATATAGGAGGCGCGTTCTGAAGCCGAGGCGCCAGGGTCGACGACCTCAGCTGCTTCCGCGTCTGCTCAGTCGGAGGCCGAGGAGGTGGAGGCGCCACCAGTGCCAGGCGACGACTTCGACGTGCCCGACCAGGAGGAGGAAGCGGAGACTGACGAGCCCGCACAGGGGCCGACCAGGAGGCGCACAGACCGATCGCCGGCAAACGATCGGGAGGCCCAGCAGCCGTCCGCCCTCAGAAGACGATGAAGCCCGAGGCCGCGAACCAGTCGCCAGCTCTCCCGCCGAAAGTAACTACCGCGCCTGGAGGAGGACTGCGGCAGCGTGCCGATGGTGAGCGTGGCCACCCACGCCGCGGAATGCGAGGAGGAGTTGCGCGTGCTGTACGTCGACCAGGACGGCGACGAGATGCCCGGGGATGCCAGGCTGGCCAGCATCAGGAGGAGGCCCAACCTCAAGGGCCCAGAGCGGGCGCGCTCGGAGGGCTCGAGGAAGATCAACGAGCATCGGGGAGGAGACGGACAACTACTTCGAATAGAAGGATACGCTGGCCGCGGTGACCAGAGAAGAGCCAGGCGCCCTGCGACGGGCGAGCCCAGAGAGGATCGCGGACATCAGGGTGATTCTCACTAGCAAGATCGACTCTTAGACGCAGGCGGTCAAGGGGCGGCTGCGCAGCCGGGGCTGAATGGGCCCTGACCTAGTGCAGATCGCGCGGGGGGATCTGACGTCGCGCCCGACGCTGCCTCAATGCGGGGAGGCCCTGGCCTGCCAGTTGCTGGCGCCCCGCGGTTTCCAGGTCCAGATCGGCGAGCGGATGAGGGGCTTCTTCGAGGCGGGCTCCATCGGGCGCGACGGCAGCGACCTGTTCTTGACACGGCCTCGAGATGGACTTCCTGGTCTGCGCCGCGACCAGCTGCTCGAGGTCATCTGGCCGATCTACGGGCCCAGCGACTCCGCGGCACAGTTTCCGGGTAAGTTGCGGACGGCAGTGCTGGACTGGAAGCGCAGCGTCGGCGGCGAATGCTGGCGCCAGTCCAAGTTGGGCCCGTGCGTGTTTTTCTCGATCGAGGGCCGTGCCTTTCGCGGCCTCGCCTTGACGCGCGCTGGCGACATTCTGACTGGCGGAAAAGAGAATGAGCAAAGGGAATGAGCACAGCGCTTTTTCGCCGTATCTCATTTCAAGTTCGGGTTCCCTAAGTGGAAGACCGGCGAAGAGAAGTTCTGCGGGTCTCAATTGGCCCAGGACCGCAGCTCGCCGAGCCCATGGAACCCGATATCGCGAGACCCCGAGCCCCTCCGGACAGCCTGGCCACGGCGAAGGAGATAGATACATTCAGTGCGATGCTGGGCAGCGGCAACAGGTTAGCTCGCGGGTCTCGCTCCAATCTCGCAGCGTAGGCGCCCGCGGGCCAGCGGCGCATGCCGGGGCCGCGGTGGCCGAGGTAAGACGCGGGAGCGCGATCGCGCGCCGAGCTTTTTTTTGTTTCTCTCGCACCTCTCCTGGAATATTCAAGCGATCCTGATCGAGCGACTCCGAGTCATAATGCGCGCCGACGCCTCTTGGCAAAACGCGACGAATTCTGGGGCCCAGGCAGGCTGCGTGATTGCAGCGACCGACAATGACATGATCAGGAACGAGCGTAGCCCCGGGGGCGCTCTTGTCTGGAAGAGCAATAGCATTCGACGCGTTACGTCATCGACCCCTGCCGCCGAGACCCATGTTCAGACGGGCGGTCTGGGATGCCTGGAATGGATGGCGTGCCTGATCCTGGAGGGGAGCGTTGAGGACTTCTGCCTGCGTCGACGTTCCGAGCTCATGCCTGTGCAGAACCCCCTTGCGGAAGCGGCTTCAACATTTTCATATGGCCACATAACTTGCAGTGGGAGTGCTCTGGCCTGTTCTGACAATCGGGTGACCGTGGATATGGTTCTCACCGGAGAGAGTGTACGACCTCTGGGAGTAGGCTATCGCCAGGCACCCTCAGCTCTACAACTAGCAGATAATCGAAGCACAGACAGCCGAGCCAGCCGGTATGTTGAAAGCCGCGATGCCGAGCAGAGTTCACCAGCTAGCAGACGAAGCAGCAGTCACAGCAGCAGCAGCCCAGGAACGGGCCCGTCGTCAGCTTCTCTCGGCCCGAGCAAAGCGGGCTGGACAGGCCAGGCCACCTACCTCGCCTGCAACAGCGTCAGATCGACCGTCGGTTCATGAAGGACGACGGTCAAATTCGAGAGCAAACTCTCCGCGGACGAGGTCAGGAGCCTGTTCGATACTATCCAGGTGGAGATGGTGCGCCACTCAGGCACGACATGCAAGGTGGTGGCCGAGATGCGAACGCTCGGAGATGTCGAGAACCGCGGATGCAGGAACATGGTGTCCGCGACGTGGAGCAAGGGGACCAGCAACGTCGCGATCAAGGCTGCAACGATCTTCGTGGACGCGGCCCCGATGTACTTGGAGGCGTGGGACAGCGCGTGCGCTGCGCTGCTTGCGGGGCAAGATCCGGAGATGTGATGGACTCGCTGCGGATCCCCGCCGAGAACAGCCACGAAGGTCCAGGTCAGGCAGATTTGTAGGCGTGGCCTGTTGTTTCATCGAAAGTGCTGGACGAGTCACGCGGGCCATCGACCGCCTGTGCGAGTTGGGGAAGCGACTGGTTCATCCGCCCGATGATCTGGGAGTTTTGGGCCCCGCAGAAGTATGTCCTCGAAGTATTTTCTCCCGTCCATGTACGAAGGGATGGCCGTGGAATGCGTCGAGGGAAATGAGGCGGGGGCTGAACCGTCCCCTCCGCAGCCGCTGCCCCGTCGTGCCGTGCGAAGCTCTCGGCTCATGGTAAGTAGTTCTCTTTTCGGGGCCGCTTCGCGGCCACGTCATTTTCGTGACTGGGTGTCTTTTTCGGGCCGGTGCAGCCTCAATGACGCACATATTTTCGTTATTGATCAGTGCTGGCCCGGGCCTTGACGTGCTCTTCCGAGTATAGCGGTGATCTTAGTGCTCGTGCAGTGCCTTGTTGTGTCTGCAGCATTTTGGCTTGCCTCTGGAGGCCGCTTCTATCGGAACCCAATCTGCACGCGGGACGCGAAATCGAAGAGAGGAGAGACAGGGAGGGCAGGGCGGAGATAGGCGAGGGGACGGGCAAAGGACGGGGAGGGGAGCTGTGGCGGGAATGGGCGAGGAGAGGGGAGGACAGGGGAGTGGGGGAGAAAGCGGGGGGGCGGGAGTGCCGGAGGGGGGAGGGGGGAGTTTTGGGGAGGAGTGCAGCTGTGTGTGTGGCTGACGGGCAATCGGTCGAGGACATCAAGAAGACCCTGAGCGATTGCCAGGACCTCGCCAACAGGCTATCGAAACAGGCCCTGTTTTTTTTGTCTTTTTTTCGCCATCGCCCTTTCGCCTTCATCGTTGGTCAATTCATGTATTCTCCACGAGCGCGTATCCCCACAAGCCCATGCGGAAACCTTGCCCACGAGAGTTGACGGGGAACGGGACGAAGAGACACATGTATCATGTATTTCATCAGAGCGGGCAAGCGGGGTGAACAGAGATCTCTGGGAGCAAGGGGGTGGCCTTGGAGGGCCATCCCCTGGGGCCCGCGTGGGGGCGACGGAAGGATGATGATGATGATGATGATGATGATGATGATGATGATGATGATGATGATGATGATGATGATGATGATGATGATGATGATGCTGATGATGATGCTGATGCTGATGCTGATGCTGATGCTGATGCCTGCTGATGCTGGTGCTGGTGCTGTGCTGATGTTGCTGAGCTGATGCTGATGCTGATGCTGATGCTGATGATGCTGATGCTGATGCTGATGATGCTGATGCTGATGCTGATGATGGATGATGATGATGATGATGATGATGATGATGATGATGATGATGATGATGATGATGGTGGTGGTGTGGTGGTGGTGGTGGTGGTGGTGGTGATGATGATGATGATGATGATGATGATGATGATGATGATGATGATGATGATGATGATGATGATGATGATGATGAGTACGAGACGAGGAGGGGGAGGCGGAGGAGGAGGAGGAGGAGGAGGAGGAGGACAACGAGAACGAGGACAAAGCCCTCAAACTCGCCTCTTGGAACCCTCTTGCGACTCGTTTGTGGGATCATGGGGTCTTCTTAGAGCTCTTCTGGTGTGTCGTGGGGGCCTCTTGGGGCCCTCTTGGGGCTCTCCTGGGGCCTGACGGATGCCCTGGAGGGCCTCTTGGGGCCATTGTCGATGGTGCCGGTGAAAAGGGAGGCGGTCGTAACGTTTGACCCCCCCCCTTGAGGCCATCATCATCATCTCCTCTTGGGGCCCTCTTGGGGCGCTCTGGGGCCGCTCTTGAGCGTTCTTGGGCCCGTCTGGGGGGTCTCTTGGGCCCCGTTTTCTCGGGTCTCTATTGGGCAATCTTGTGGCCATCTTGAGGCCTCAAAAGCGCATCAGAAGCGAACAGGCGAGCAGTCAAACATCGGCCATAAGAAAAGGGGGAAGAACTGAGCTTCATCGTCATTACTTACGGCTGGACACGGCCCGAACAATTGGTAAGCTTCGACCCCGGGATGGTTCAGGGGATCGATTGATTGTGAGCGAGTTTGCCCTCATCCCCCCCTCTTGTCGGATTGTCTCTGGGCTTATTCAGCTCATACCCCCCCGCAACCTCTAAATTGTGCATCGGCCCTACCATCCCGCCTTCCCCAGGCGGGCATAATTAGGCCCCGCGAAACCCGAACGGAACAGCGTGTATCCCCACCAGGGGGGGTGCGAGGGTAAGTCGACCAGTGGGGGGCCAAGCAATTGCCAGTGGGGCTGGGGATCGGTCGAACCATGAGCCAGAGGGGGTGCACTTCGCCAATCGACGCGGCGGCCCCCCGGCACCGGCCGTGCCTTGGCGTCACCGATCGGGTCGGGCGAGAGGAGGGGGGGACAGGGAACGGGTGGGGAGGGGTACGAAGTCTGCTGCGTGCAGCTGGTCTCGGCCCCGCCGCCGGGCGCCTTCCTCGACACGTTGGCACCGAGAGGCTCCGGCAGGACCAGCTGTGTGGGCTGATCCGCTGCCCCCCCGCTCTGATCGCGGCGGTTGCCCCCCCCCAGGCCGAGCCTCGGCGCCACCGAGGCAGAGGGGGGGCGGGCCAGCCTCGTGATGCTTCTGGAGCGCGAGTGCCAGCCGCTGGGCAGCAGCGATGAGCACACTCCTCGTCGGCGGAGTCTGCCGGCGAGCCGCCTTGCGCTCGGAGGGCGGCTTCGAGGGGCCTCGCCCGAGGTAGGGCCGTGCGCGTGGCATCTCCGCCACGACCTCCCCGAGGCCCCGCGCGGCGTTGTCGGGGCCTCCTGCCCCGAGGAGGCCCTGCGACAAGCACGTCGTGGCGTTCGAGCCTGGCGGCGCCCGCGCCTCGCGCAGCGCGGCTGCACGAGCAGCAGCAGCAGCAGCAGCAGCGGCGTTCATAGTCATCCGCTTCAGGGCTCTCCCGCACGCTGCTCGGCCAAGCGCTCCAATTACCCTCGCTTCCAGGGGCCTTCGCACACCCCTCTCCGCTCTGTTTTCGGAAGTCCTGCATCGGCGGGGTGACGGCACCGTCAGCTGAGTCGGTGGGGATTCGGGGTGGCCGCACGATTTTGCGGCTTGTGTCGTTATCCGAGGATGTCTCGGGCGACTAGGGCCTCCAAGTGCAACAAGGTGCGGTGATTGACCGTGCGGTGAGGTATTTTGGTTGGCATATCGAGGTCACCACACGGTCTGTCTCTGGACGGATGTGGGACTCCATATTTTCGAGGGCGGACGAGCCATCCAGGTCCCCCACCCTCGACCCCCCTATCATTGGCGCTTCCCCAGCCGTCATGCACGTGTACGTTCTGTGTGAGCCTTTCTTTATGTCGGTGGGTTCATTGTAGGTCTTCAGTCTCCGCTTGTGCTCTCTCTTCGCAGGGTTTGCCTTTTCTTCGCTGGTCGGCGAGCAGGTGGACGAGATAGTGGAGGAGGTGCATCGCGTCACGGCAGAGGACACCCCCGCCAGTGTTCCTTTAGCGTGTGTGTGTGTGTGTGTGTGTGTGCTGGGGGGGAACCGAATACACCAGGGGGAGGAGAGAAGAATGAGGAGGCCGATTTGGAGGAAAGGGCACGAGGGCGCGGAAGACGACGGAGCAGGATGAGCCAGAGGAAGGGGAGGTGGACGAAAAGGGGCAGGTGAGGGACGAGGCGGTGGGCATCACGAGGACGAGCAGAAAAACACAGGGCAGGACGGGAACGAGGAGGAGCAAGCTCAACATGATCAGGGGAGGAGCAGGAGGAGGAAAGATGATCGGCAAGCGTATCAGCAGTAAGAGCAGGTGGGAAGGGGCCTTCTAAGGGAGTAATTAGGGACAGGAGGAGGAGGAGGAGGAGGAGGAGGAGGAGGAGGAGGAGGAGGAGGAGGAGGAGGAAGAAGAGGCGGATGTGTTCGGCCGACGACTTCCTGCCCCAGGGGCGAAGACACAGGAGCTTGCCCGACTCATGCAAAACGATGTTTGCATGATGCAGGCGTTCGAACAGATCCGCCGCCCCCAACTTGGGGAGAATGCATCGGACACTGAGGATACCCTCAGGAAGAGCGTAGGGCAGCGCGTTGGCTGATGCGCTCGCGCAAGGAGGCGCCTACGGCTGCTGACGGCAACGCTCGACACATCGTCTCCGCTTCGGTGCCTGAGGCTGCTTCTGATGGCATTGCCATTCACCGTGGCTTCTTTCCGGCTCCTGGGGCTCTGGGCTTCTGATGGCCCTGCCCTTCGCCGCTTCGAAGGCCAGGGGTCCGCGGGGGGGAGGCGGCGGCGGCGCCAGAGGGGCATGAGTGGGGGGAGGCAGACGCCCACAGCCCAGACCGATCCACAGGGTGGGGGAGGCGCGCAGGCTCTGCGTCGACGCGGCGGGGGGTGCCCGCCGAGGACCGGGCTCCACGGCTGGCCGCCCGCGTACTGGGCGGCCCGGCATGCGGGGGCCGACAAGACTCGGGAGCGAGAAAGAGAACCTAGGCCTCCCAGATGGGGTCGGAGCAGACGGGGTCGGAGGATCTCGCCGCATCGCCAATGCATCGGCGATGCGGCGCGATGCAGAGCCCGATTTTCTCCACGCCGGCGTCGCCGATGCATCACCCACACGTCGACGATGCATCGCCGATGCATCGCCGATACATCGCCGACGTATCGGCGATGCGGCGCGATCCTCCGACCCCATCTGCTCCGACCCCATCTGGGAGGCGTCCAGAGAAGGGAGAGGGCCAGGGGGAGGAGGATATCATGGCGTGGGCCATGATATCTCCCCCGATTTCATGGCGCCCCGTCTTGCTTCATGACGTCCCTGACCCCTCCTTGGGCCGCGCACATGCCGCCGGCCATGATTTGCGCCCCCCCCTTGGACGCCCCCCTCTTGGCCGCCCCCGAAGGGGGCAGCGCATGTGCGCGTCACCGGGCCCTTCCCCCAGGCAAGCGGCACTGCGTGCTCTCTTCCGAGGTTTTGGCACATCGGCGCCCACTGTGCCATCGGGGAGGCGCAGGGTGGATTCGCGACGCATGGACTACCGACTGGTCCTGTTTCCAATGCGAAGTCGGCGCGCTCCGTCGCCGCAACGGGCCGAATTAGCACCTGGGCTCTAGGGCTAGTTTCCCCGATCAGAGGGTCTGGCACCCACGCGCCAGATTCACGGATCCCTACTCCATGTTAGCGCGTGCCCGATGTCAGGCGCGGATGTGCCCTGGCCTCGGACCAGCGCTACCCAGACCCCCTTGCCTCCGTGCCCAGCGGGCCGCTCAAAGTCGGAGGGTGCTGGCCCTGCCGGGATCAGACCTTCCGTTCCTAATCGAGCGCCTGGCGGTGGACGTCGACGACCAGCAGGCCGACCTGGCCGACATGCACCAGATCTTCTGCCGGAACATGGCCCGTGAGGGGGGCCGGGGGGCCCAAACACCCGAAGGGGAAACAGTTGCATGAACATTCAGGTTCGAGGTTGCGCGGTGGTTTCTTGCATCTGCGCTGGGCCTCCACTGGCGGCGCCGCCGGCGCCGCCCATGGCGCGCTCCACGCGCCAGGGAGGGGGTCCAGCGCCGATCCAAGAAGTCCGCGCCGAGCTCCGAAAGTGTAATTATGCATCATTATGGTGTTTCTTTTGTTCTCGACGTGTTCCAGGGGTGTGCCTTTGCCGCGAAGGTGTGCGCAGGCCAGGGCTGGGCGTTCCCCGTCGCCTGGCCACGCGCCCCTGGCGCGGGCATGTGGTTCGAAGCTGGCGGTTCATTGATCTGAAGGCAGCAGAGGGCGATTTTTCGGACGCGGTCGCTTCCGATTCGTTTTCGCCGCCCGAGAAGCCCCCTTCCAGGGGCGTGGCTTTGTGGGGCTCGAGTGCTTCCGGACAGCTGAGTCGTCGCTGCCGCAGACGTTTGTGTCGTCTTCCCAGTCAGGAGTGTGCATTTTTTGCTGCCTGGCCGCTGGCCTCCGATGCGGGCATGTGCTTTTCGCTGCTGGCACGGAGTTACTGTCTTGAGGTCGTCCGTGCAGTTCGCAGCTGGGGGCCATCTCTGATCAGGCCCCATCAGAATCAGTGGGCCGAACATCCCGGGATCGGTTCCGCAAGCTGTCTTTTGTGGGTGGAGGGTGGGGTAACCGTGTTCGGAGGCGCGCCCAAGTGGAAGGCAGGGGGGGGCGGGCTTTTCCATAAGGCTCAGAATGCCTCGGACCTTCTGACAAGCTTTCTCCGCCTTCTCCGAAGTCACAGACAGCTTCTGAGAATGCGGGAGGGGTTCTGAGAAGCGCCGTCATCTTCTGAGAAGGCTCGCTCCCTTTCACTTAATTGGCAGATAGCCTTCAGGCTCGGCGGCTCAATGTGACGCACGAGCGACTACACAGCACCTCCTGGCATGCGTGTGAAAACGCCCTGGAGTCCAAGCACAGCAGGACCTTGCAAGGAAAATGTACCGTAGAACCGCTTGGTCTTGGAGAGGCCAGTAAGACACGCAATTATTCAGCGGTGGCATCAGCACTTCCAAAACTGTGCACGTGCATTCGGGCACGCGATGTGCAGATCTAGACGATTACACGTGTCATTGGTAGTATGACCATGCGCGCCAGGAATTAGAAATGTGTTTGTGTAAGGACTTTACGCGTGATTTGGGAAGCATGGGTCGCTTCGACTGGCATGGGATGAGTCCACTTCCATTTCTAATCGTAGACTTTTTCCAAACTCCCAAGTTCGCTTGGGTTCATTGCGGTTCTCTCCGGAGTGGCGAAGATGCTCCTGTTTCCGACTGGCGGTCTCCAGATTCCACGAGGATTGCATCAGATTCTTGCGTACGCCACCAGGATTTGCAGGTTCATGTCAGAGACCAAGCAAAGGACGCTGACTGGGTCGAACGACCAGCGCTGTCTTTGGACCTCTGTCTGGAGCGAGCCGGTGCTGTGCTTGTTCACCTATGGGACTACAGATGGGGACCCCAAGGCGGAAGAGGCCCCGACTGTAGTGTTTGCGTTGGAGCAGTTCGTCGAGTTACGGTTTGTTGGTGCTTCTGCTGTTCGACAGCGGTAAAGTTGGTAATGTGTTGTTGCGCCGTGCTGCGGGCTGCCGCGTACAGCGCGACGCTAGGGATCTGGTTTGGCAGCAGTTTCTGTTGCCGCCATTGGAGGAGGAGGAGGAGGAGGAGGAGGAGGAGGAGCAGGAGCAGGAGCAGCAGGAGCAGGAGCAGCAGGAGCAGGAGCAGGAGCAGGAGCAGGAGGAGGAGGGGAGGAGGAGGAGGAGGAGGAGGGGAGGAGGAGGAGGAGGAGGAGGAGGAGGAGCACGGCAAGGAGGAGGAGGAGCAAGAGGAGGAAGACCCCGCAAGCCCCCTTGAACTCCTCCTCAGCACCTCGGTCGTTCCAACAGTAGCTTTGCCTTCGAGGAACTGGTGGGTTGGATCCAAGAGAGTTGCATCCCTCCTCCACCGAGATGCTGGCTTTCTTGGATCCAAGGGTGTTGCGCCGGCTACCTAGCCTCAAACGTGCTGCGAGGCGTGCGTTTGAGCGCGCCTGGTGCACATGGTAACAGAAGGAAGCAGTGTCGTTTGCGAGGACATTGTCGCGTAAACTGCCCGCGTAAGGCCGCGCGTAAGCGCCCTCGTTTCCAATGTGGCGTGCCGCTCTGGCGCCCCGCGCAAGCCACCGCGTAAGGTCGCTATGCTATTTCGTGTTAGACCTGTTTTTTGCTCGTCGCCCAGATGGCGACAGGCCCCGTTTCGTGCCGACGGGCACACGGGGTGCGCCTGCGTGTGCGGCAGCCCTGGCGGTGCAGGCCGCCCCGAGACCTGCGGCGCCCGTGCACCGGCCGCTGCTCGCACGGTGGAGGGCTTCCCCCTTGCATCAACTGGCCCTCCTCCCGGGGGTGGGCTTGTGGCCGTTTTTCTGCGGAAGGTTCCGTGGGCCTGGGGAGGGGCCGGAGAGACCGAGTCCGGTGAGCAGCCGGTTCGTCCCGGTGGCCTCATGGGGTATGGTGCTGTCGGGCCCTTGTTTGGCGGCCGACGTGCCTCCCGGGCGGGCGACGGCACGGAAAGCTGGTGCGTTTGGACCCCTGGAGGGGCCCGAAGGACCCCAGGTTGGAGCTGCCTTGGTCTCAGCTTGCCGTGCTTTGGCAAGAGAGCCCTCGTGGACGGGCGGCATGCCGCGTGTGGGCCGGGCCTAGGGCGACACCCCCCGCCATGGATTCGTGGCCGCCGCCCCTCGCTCGGAGATCCCGTTGGCGGCCTCGGGGCCCCTGGCCACCCTTTGTGGCGCTGGCTCTCGGGGTGCCCGGGGCCACCTCCCGGTCCCCCGGGCGGGCGGCTCGGCGGGGCGTGCGCCCAGGTGATTTTGCCTCCCTTTTTGCAGGGTTGCCGAGGCGTCTGTCGCCATTCCGCCTGGCACATGCCGCTCGTTCAGAATCTGTGCCTCTGGACCCTTAAAAGAGCGCATTCCGTGGTCGCTTGGAGGGGGGGGGGGCTTGGACCCCCCCCCCTCGGACCTTTGGATCCCACTCTGCCTC